AGACCTGGCCTAACTGATGATGGGGCTTACAAAGGATACTGATAAGGCATTACTCATCCAGAAACAGCCTGACACATACACCTCCCTGGAACTCTAGAGGTCTTCTGGAGAACCCATAAGCAAGTGAAGTTGATATTTTATAATCCATCCACTTGCCCCAGGGAAGAATACTGGCTCTTTGTTGGCTGCTAGCTGATGAGCAGTCTACCCACAGGAAACAAAAGCTACAATTTTCACACAATCTGTGGTTTTTCCTTCTTCCCTCTCTGCTCTTTCTTATACATAAATCGTTTTTGCTGCTAGATTGAATCAATTATTGTTTTCCCTTATATACAAGTAGTTTTTCTTAAGTTTATGTATTTATTTAAGTAATCTCTACACTCAATATGGGGCTTGAACTCACGACCCTGAGATCAAGAGTTGCTGCTTTTTCGACTGAGCCAGCCAAGCGCCCCTTTATAAGTAAGTTTTTAAATTATTGACAGGGGAAGGATTGGTCTTTGACCTGGTCTTCTGTCTGCATTCTTTCCCATGGTCGGTTCTTCACTGACGTATTTCCGACTATCACCATTCTGATAACTCCCAAACCTAACTATCCAACCACCACCAAGCTAGTTCTGCTTGAATGTCCCACCATCACTCCAAACTCACATCCCAAATGAATTCATTTTCATCTTTAAGCCAACCTCTTAACCAATTCCCAAACACACAGGCTGAAACCAAAGAGTTATTTTCAACTCTATTAGAAAGGGAATGCTTCCTGGACTGATTCCTTGCATCCACGACGATTTCCTCTATACACTCCTGAACTCTTAGCATAACTCTCCTCCCCCGGCTGAAGCTTCAGGGAGAGAGCCAGGTTAAGTGTAGCTTTGCCCTTTTTCCCGTTCCTTATTTTGGAAGCCAGCTGCCCACAGGTTCTGCTGCTCTGTGTTGGAAGTTTCACAGGAATAGGCTCTGCCTTTTGGCAGATGTGGAGGGATGAATGAATGAAAACATTCCTTTTCAAAGGAATGTTAGGATCTCTTGTTTTGGCAGAGAACATAAAAGAGAGACCTGGTGAGGAATTTGGGAGTGAAATATCACATACAAGTTGAGGCTATGATGGGACCAGCACTTGAGGCATTTCAAACACTTTTCAAGTTGGCCATGTGGAAATGCTGGCCACTGTGTTCACTGGCAAGAGTTTTTGTAACTCCGATTTTATGTACAGGCAGGGATGAATAAGTACCTTAGCGAAATGCCAGTCACGTGGCTCAGCAAAGGCACTGTCCTTACACAAGCACTACGGCTTAAGCATGTCAGGGTTAAGGTGTGAGCACTGACCTTGGCCTTAGCACAGACCCACTGCCTTCCCTTGTGGGGCATCTGCAAAGCCCAAGCAGCAGAGAAGACCTTGGTGAGCAGGCCCTGCTGAGGCACAGACTGGACTACAGGAAAGTCTTTCCCTATACACGCCTTTTAGATATTGAGGTAAAACAAGTATTTGGTCCTTTACTATGTTTTTTAGCTAGTTCGACAGGCCAGGGGCTTTAAAATGCAATTAAATTCCGCACATGCTAAGGAACACAAGTGTGTAAGCTCCAAACTTTGTTAGTCCCAGTCCAGCAGAAAGCATGAAAAGGCTGTCCCAAATTCCATCCCTTATGTTCTGAGCTAGACTCAAAGCCAAAGGCTAAAACCAGAAGAATTCATGTGTTGTTGTTTTCTTTTCTCCATGGTTTAAGGGTCACTCCCCACTTGCAAGTCTGTCTGTCATAACTCTGGCTAGGGTTTTATAGTTCTGAGATTTACAGTGCAGCTTCAATCTTAAAAAGATGGTAGGTTTTATTTATAACAACAAAAACAATGCCCTTATTACAAATAAAATATGTCATCTTCTCAGACTGAAATAGAAAAACCACTCAATGCGGGGCGCCTGGGTGGCTCAGTCGTTAAGCGTCTGCCTTCGGCTCAGGTCACGATCCCAGGGTCCTGGGATCGAGCCCCGCATCGGGCTCCCTG